GGTGGCGGGCCGGGGGCGAGGGTGGCGGCTCCCTCAGGACCCGGCGCGGGCGGCGCGATGCGGCGGGTCACGTTGTTCTTAAACGGCAGCCCAAGGAACGGCAAGGTAAGCGGCGACGGGGGCGCGACCCGGGGACCTCCTCGGTTCCCGACAGTTCCCGGCAGCCCGGCCACCGGAGCTCCGAGGCGCCGCTGTCACCTGAGCGGCGGGCCGAGGTCCCCGTCCACCTTCCTGCGGCACCCTTCTGCCCTTACCGGTGCTGAGTAATGCTCAACCCCGGGAGGAGGCAGAGATCACCGTGGCGGGTGACCTGCCCTGGTCGGGGGATGGAAACTCTAGGGGACAGTTGAGTGACACCCTCAGAATGGGGACTGATCTGGAATGCTTCCCTCCTCTTTCACGGTGCCCGGGCCCCCCTTCCCTGCCACCGTGCAAAACTTTTGTGCACGTTTTATTGTGCCGCCTTGTTCTGGTCACTTAAAGGACGGTGACAGCAGACCAGAATGACTTGATTTGACAGTAGCCTTAGCTGCATTTAGGCCTCCGTGGAGGGCGTGGTGCTAAATATTTTTCCGATGTTGCAGCAGCCTCTTGCCCCACCCTTGAAAGTTATTCTTTGGAAAATGTTGGCTGTTTCTGGCGGGCTAGTCATCTGTGGTTAGATGACTGCCCGACTCATAAGTAAGCCTGTTTAAAGACTCAGAAGTAATGAAGGCTTTTAAAGTTTCAGTTGAAGGTACATTGGTCCCCACTCTATTAATGGCCAGAGTACTCTTAATTCCTACACGTATACATAGCATAACTATTCAGAAGCATTAAGCGGGAGGAGGGTGCTTTTGAACTCCTCTGCAGTTTTGAATAAACAGACTCTGGAAATCTGAACCGCAGTGAGGTTTGTGCTCTGCAACTTTGTTTCCTTCAGATTGGCTATTCATACAAAAATAGTAATGACTTGAGCTCTGCCGGGGCTTCCGAAGTACGTGCTGCAAAGGCCCTATCAGTTCTGATCATTAACTTTTCCTTAACCAGCTCTGTAGCTGGCTGGTTTTCATAAACTGAATTCTGCGTGGTTACTGATTTAGTATTATCCAGTGTTAACAGCTGTAGTGTGTGCACTTTGGCCAGTGCTGGTCTGTGTTCGACTCCATGCAGTCGAAGCTTCGAAGCTTTTGGAGGGCCTTCTAAATCCTCGCCTCTACTGTACCTCTTTCTGAGTCCACTGACTTTCATTGTCCACAAATGGAGGGAGTGGCTCTTTGTGTTTTATTTAAATTTTTTTAAAAACTTCGAAAAAGTTTCAAGCGTTGGGTTTCCAGTTTAAGTCGTATTTACTTAAAAAAATCTTTTCATCTCAGAAGATTGGGGAAAGCACGTACGAAATAATTGTGCATGCATAGGCTTTACAAAGATGATAAAGTCTGAACCGAAGACTACTAGCTTTTCATATTTAAGAGAAACTATGCCCTAGTCCTTTCTACTAAACTAAAGAATATATGTTCTAAAGCTGCTTCCTCTCCTTTTGGCTTGATGGAAAAATTAATTTTAATATTTTCCTTGATGGAAAAATATTAAACTGACTCTTATTTGACAAGATCACAATACTGCCTGCATATGTATATGGACGGATATGTAGCATACACATAGCAACTATATTTAGTCAGGGTTGTCGTAAACATGACATGGAGGCTCAGGAAATAGTTTGCTGTCCTGTCTATAAAGTAGAATATATCATTTAGATTGTCTCCTGACATACCTGCTTGCTATCTTTAATCCCTTAGGCAAGAGAATAATCTTCTTTTTCCAAATGTGTTTTCCTGTTACTGCTTGCTTTGTGGCTCTGGTCCATGAGGTAGAAAGGCACACATCTAATCAGCAAGCATCAGGATATCAACATGCATTCTCTATTTGTGTAGCTGAAAATGCTTGTAAGTGTTGATGAAAGAGCTGGCAGCTGGTTTTTCCTAAGTAAACTGTAATACCATGGAGGGTGGTGGAAGATGACCCACTGGGATTTAGAGGGAGGGAATGTATATTATTTATGTTTTCATTTAAAAACAAAGTAATTTTAAAACTTGTCCTTTCTAATCTGGAAAAGCCTGGGAGCCTCCAATCACTGAACTTGTTAGACTGGTCTTGTTTTCTTCCAGAACAGAGGCCTACACGTGTGAATAGGTTGATAGCCAGCACCAGTGGTTCTCTTTGACACAGGATGTATAGAAGCCTACAAGTACAGTGGAGATTTACATCGTTCAGTCTGAACTGAATTAGCCACTAGTTATGCCAAGTGACTTTAAGACATTACCGCAAAGAAACTGCAGGTTGAAGCCAATATTAATAATAACATAAAAGGATCTCAAAAGCTAAAGAGTGCCATGTTTTAAGAAAATTATTTGAAGTTTTACTTAATAACTAGCATTAATAATCAACTTCTTCCTTAGGGTATATTGTTCTTCGAACGATTAGCCAGTGGTATGAGGAGGTCATCCTAATTACTAAGACGTGAGAGTCTTTTCCTGTACATGCTGGCAAATGGCCTTGGGTTTTTTTCCCCTTTGCCTTAGTTTTTATGGGTTGGGGAGATGACTCAGGGGTTAAAGCATTGCACAAGCAACTTGTGTGAGTCCACCAGTGATTCCAGCCCCTGAAGGCAAAGATGAGGGATCCCAGGAGGAAGCTGGCCAGCTAGGCTGGCCTTGGTGGCAAACTTGGCTCAGTTGAGAGAGCCTGCCTCAATGGATAGGTGACAAGCAGGGGAAGAAGACTCCTCAGATCAACTGTGGGCCTCAACACGTGTGTGCATACAGGTGCAGACACACCTAAACACACACACACAAGAAAAAGAATAAAAACCTTTATTGTTTAAAGATAATCTTATATTTAGCAGAATCTCACTAAATTTAGTAATACATTATTTAAAAGATTCCTGCTGGCTAATTTGTCATCTGAGTAAATAAAAATCCTCACCTCGTTTAGAAAAACGTTTCTGACATTAGCATACAGTTTACGATTCAATAAATACACAGCTGACTGAGCACAAGCCCAAACTGTTCTGCTGATGGGCTTTGAAGATTATACTCCCAGAACGCTGCCTTGTTTGAATCATGGGGACGAGGGGGCTGTTGTTGGCTCCAGGAAGATCGGTTATGCCTACACTGTGCTTCCCGTTTCCTTTGATCTCATACTATTCCCTGTAAAGGGGAGTATTAAGAATATGAAATGAGGATTCAGACATCTCAATAAAACATGTGGTTCTGAGTAATCCTGTGTTAGTGCCATCAATAACAAGTTCGTACTGTTATAGCAACCAGTTCATCAACTGTCAGATAGCTTTTCCTCATCATGGCTTCTCCAACCAAGAAAGAAGTGTGTCTGAATAGTATAATATAGTCACGGTGAACTTTAATAGACATGCTTCTCTATTGCTCCACAAAACGCTAACATTCTTGGTGCTGACTTTGTTTTATTTTTGTTTGTTTGTTTGTTTGTTTTTGAGACAGAGTTTCTCTGTGTAACCCTGGCTGTCCTGGAACTCACTCTGTAGACCAGGCTGACCTTGAATTTACCTACCAAAACCAACTGTCTCTGCCTCTGAGTGCTTCACCACCACCACCCACAGGTGCTGAACTTCTTAAAGCAGGTGCAGTGACAGGGAAACTTCAGGTCTACGTAAGGAAGGATCACACACTTAAAGAAGATAACAGTCTTTCATTTTATAAGGGCCTGGCTGCTTAGGCACAGTATGAATACTAAAATAAGCTTAGCACCCATTAGC